AAGGAAGGGAAAGGCAGAAAATAAGCTAAGGCTAGAAAGAACAGCAAAATCTAGCAAGAAGGGCTTCTTCAAATATATCAACAGCAAGAAGATGGTGGAAGTAGTAGGTTCCCTGTTTATTTCCAATGGAGAAACTTTAACAGAGAACCAAGAAAAAGCAGGCATTTGGCTCTTATTTTGCCTCTGTCCTTTCATCCAATGGAAATAGTTAATGGGAACAAACACAACAGGGGAGGGTGGAGGCCAATAAAGACATAGTAAAAGAACTTCTAGCTAATAAGAATGCCTTCAAGTCCCCAAGCCCTGATGAAATACTGACTATAATACTGAAGGATCCTGCTGAACAGCTGTCAGTTATCTTTGAGGAAGCCTGAAGAACAGGGGAAGTGCCAGACAACTGGAGAAGAGCAAATGTGGTTCATCTCTTCAGGAAAGGAAAGAAAGAGGGTCCCACTAATCATCACCAAACAATCCCTGGTGGAGATGGTAGAGCTGGTAATAAAGCAGGACATTTGTAAACATTGTGAGGACAATACCATGATTGCTAAGAGCCACCATGACTTTGTCAAATCATGTGAGACAAATCACGTCTTCTTCCTTGGCAGAGTAGTTAGTCTAGTGAACAAGGGTTAAGCTTTCTTGATTGAACAAAGCTTTTGGCAAGGAAGGCTCTACTTGACATAGCCAGTTGTGGACCCACCTTAATATATTACTATCCAAATTATTTAACAGCTTAGAAGAGTAGTTTAGATGGCACTACAAAATAATGTGGGTCCACAGCTGGTTGGCTACCCACACACTCAAACTACATCAGATTGGAGATTAGTAACTAATAAGGTTCCACAGGGATCAGTCCTGAGGCCAGTATTATTCTATATTTTTATTAATGATTTGGATAACTGGATTGATGGATTGCTTATCAGATTTGCAGATGACACAAAATTGGGAGGTCTGGCCAACATCTAGTATAACAGAATGAAATTATAGTCTAATCTGGACAGGTTGGAATACTGAACTGGGCTGGGAAGAACAAAGAATTATTTAACAAGGAGAAAAAACTATCCTGATGATAAAATATATACAACAGTGGAACAGTATATCTATAGAAGTTGTAGGTTCTTTATCTCTGAAAGTTCTCAAGAAAAGACTGAGCAGTTACATTTCATGGGTGGTTTAATTGATTTTCCTGCACAATGCAAATGGTTGAATTAGATGACCCTTAATGATTGTTTCCATCTCTACAGTTCTGTGATTATGTGATTTTATAAGCTCTTCGTTCATCTGCAGATGAGATTGAATCAAACCTTGCAGTACCCAAAGACAATCTTTGATGAAATTTGTCCATCAAAACCATATCATTCCATCCAGATCTTCTGCCAGTAGTTTAAATTCCACAAATTAGTCTGGCACTAAGCCTTGCCTTGATGCAGTCTCCTGATCTTTTAGGTGGTCATTCAAACTTAGGGAGATAATACATGCAAGATTCAGATGTCTAACAAAAGACTAAAATAATCCAGGAAAGGACTCAGAGCAGGGAAGGCATTGTCAACTTAGCTGCTGTCATGGCCTCTAGTCCTTGGAACCTTCAGAATCCAGCAAAAGACTGGTGAAAATGTGACACCTAGTGCTTCCTCATGGGAAGACTATTTGGTTCCATGTAGAGGGCTCTTCTCTTTTGAGAACATGGCCTTGCTATTGCCTTTTTTCTTAAAAGATTATTTCTGCCTCCATACTGTTGCAGAAGTCTGTTTGCCAAAAATCAAGGGGGAAAAGTTTAATCTGTCACAGAGTTCCCCAGGAAACTGGAAATGGCAGATACTGTAGTGGGTACCTATACAAAGCTTTCTTTAGTTTTGTTTAGCCACAGGAGAGCTCTCAAAGAGAGCTATCCAAGGTCCTGTTTCCTGCTGGCTTCTTCTCCAGTGGGCTTCTGCCTGACTTCTTTACTGTCTGACCAGATTTGATTGATTTGCTCTTAATGGCTGTTTCTTTCCTGGATCCAACGTCTCTGACTCCCTTGGAAAGCAAAGGTGTCAAAGGATGAGATACCTGCCTTTTGTCTGAGAGACTTTCAGTACATTGGTTCATTTATGAAATCTCCAACATGCAGTTCCACAAGAAGGCACTAAGCAAGCCTCTCGAAGTTCTCGCCATTTGGGGTGAGCAGTGATAGAGCCAGGTTTCTGGTGATGTTGTGTTTGCATTTACCAAATGGCTATTTCGGCAGTAATTATGTTATTCAGGTAACAGGCTTTGTCTTTCCATACTGGGAGAATCCATCTGCATCTTTGCTTAATACACAGTGACTGCAGGAACTGTTATCATAACAGAGGTTTAAGGGAGAATAAGGGTTAATATAGAAAGCTCATTCACAATAATGAGGTTTTCTCTGGAAGCCCACTCTTCCTTCTCTGAACGGGATTCTCTGGAACCTGGACAGGCTGGATCTGGACAGTGGGAAGGGGGTTTAGTATTCTGCATGCTAAGCATTGGGACTTGGGGCACAAGTACATTTTTGGATTTCAGAGGGAGAAAGTGAACAGCAGTTTCTGAGTAGCATGATTAAAATGTGTGGCCTTCTTTAACTCAAATGTTGGTTTTCTGTTATACAAAAACAGTTTTTTCTCTTACATTACCTTATCCTTGAAGGATAAGATGTGAAATTGGGTGGAATGACCTCCCCAAGGCAATTGCACATTCCTTGGGGTTGAGGTATTGTACTCTTTTTGAAATTTTATACTAACTTCAGCACCTGTTTAATGAGCATATAGCCTATGATGAACTAAATCTGTGTTGTTACGAAGAAATGTGTATGCCAAAGAATCTCAGTGCTGTTAGATCACTTTAATGATAGAATTTAACTGTAATATTCCTAGCCCTTTGGTTCTCAAAGAACTGTCTGCAAAAGATTGATTTGTGCTATTACTAAGCTTAAAGTTATGAAGCTGAACTATTTTGTTCATTGGTTGGAAGGCAGCAAATGCTAACCGGTCATTGTTGCTGTTCCTGGCAAGAGTGATGGGTGGGTGGGTGGGGAGGAATGGTCTTGTGGGGCAAAAATGAGGCAGGTCCTGCAGTGTGGCATGATCTGGTTGTGGGCTTCTGCAAGTAATTCTACAGTCACTCTGAAGAATTAGCTAGAGTTTGAAGGTTACCTTCTGATTTCCCACTTTTCTCTCAGCTATATATTTGAAGACTTTCTGCTTTTTTGTCATCCATTGGACATGTTACTGGTAGTTGCATTCCATTGTGTTGATGCTTGCCAGTTGTAGACTTCATCTTTTGAAGAATGGATTGACAGTGGTTGTAATTCCAGACATAGTTCTTTCCTCTCAAGATGGCCTTCTGTTTGTATTCCTCACACAGGACTCTCCCCATTATATTTTATGCCATTCCTATCTTGAGCCCTTCATGGTGGAAGGGATTGATCTCAGAAGCAAATGTTAGATTTGAACTGCAGTTAGATTTGAACACTGTCTTAATATGGTTAGAGGTCAGAAAGTGCAAGAAGGAGCGGAGTGAGAAGTGGCAGAATCCCAAGTTTTCATTATAAAAGTATTTCTGAATTGTCCAAGTCTAGTAGTTTCAAACAAATTAGAAAATTTAAAACAAACAAGAATTAATGTCAATAGAAATATTTTAAAAACAGAAACCTAGACAATTTATTTTAAATTATTCAGAAACCATGCAGAACAGAATAGTTTTAATAGCCTGTTAAAACAGTGACTCAATGAAACCCCAGTGGTGATAAAATTAAACTGGAAGACACTTTTGGTTTTTCATTTTGCCTTAATTTAATGCTAGTTTCATAACTAAGGCATCAATTCTAAACACAACCACTATGAATTAAGGACTACTGAACACAGTGGGACCTAATATTCCAGTAAATGTCCACAGTTAGGTAACTAGAGTAACTCCAGTAACTAGAGCTCTACATGGGGCTACCCTTGAAGAGCATGTGGAAGCTATAGCTGTTTCAGAATGTGGCCGCACGGGCAATTTTGGGTGCCCCAAGAATGGCGCATATAACACCTTTGCTGCAAGAGCTGCATTGGGTCCCAGTTTGTTTCCAGGTCCAATTCAAGGTGTTGCTTATCATCTTTAAAGCCCTACATGGCATGGGACCGGGTTACCTGAGGGACCGTCTCATCCCTATTACATCGACCCGTCTGACCTGCTCAGGCACAGAAGGTATGCTACAGACCCCGTCAATTAGGGAGTGTCAACTAATGGGGTCCAGGAAGAGAGCTTTCTCTGCGATTGCTCCCACCCTATGCGCACTGTCCCCCAAGAGGCAAGGCGGGCCCCCACTCTCCCGGCCTTCCAGAAAGGAGTGAAGACCTGGCTCTGCCAGCTTGCATGGGGCTCAAGGAGGGGTAACCAACTTTGGAGGTGGTTGCCACCCTGAAGATGCTCCCGTAGGTCAATAACTTATTACATACCACCAATTCCTTGAATTATTTATTTATGAATGCTGTTTTTATTGTATTTTAAATGGTTTTTTATTCTTATTGTTGTAAACTGCCCAGAGTCGCTCTTTGAGTGAGATGGGCAGTGACTAAATTTGAAATATAAATAATAAATAAATAGAGTATGATACCTCTTGCACTTTTTAAAAGAAAAATCTTTTGATCCTGCATGGCACGTGGGATGTGGCCCACCTAGCCAGCTTGTCTAGACTTCTCCACCTGCTGTTGGAACTGCACTTCTCGAATAGTGGGTCTGAGGTTGTGAGTCTGGTCAGTTCCTATCTGGAGAAAGGAACCCTGCTAAGAATGGCTTAAAATAAAGGCGCCCCCTTTCCCTGATGTTTTTGGTCTCATGTTTTCCCAGCATCGCAGCTAATTCTCTGAAAACAGCGGCTGGGTTGTGGCTTTGCTACTTTGTTTGCTTTTCTAAGCTGTCTTCTGTTAATTGTTTCTCTGTGCTGTGCTTGCTAATGCTCACTTCTTCTACTCTGCTTCTCTGTTTGATTGACTTTTAGATGGCCTTGCTGAATTTCTTCTCCCCTGAGGAGAGGCCTCTCTTTAGAGAAGAAAGCCATCGTGTCCGCAGAAACAAAAGAAGCAAAAACAGCGAAGGATCAGAGAGTGAGTTTGCATGCTTTTTGCTGTCTCCCAATAAATGTATTTATACGTTAGGTTTTTAATATGCTGCCTTTCCACCAGGTGCTTGAGGGGGTATAGATGCATAGTGCTTCCTTCTTCATTTCCCCCCCAGCAGCCTCAACAGCCCTGTGAGCCTGGATGGGCTGAGAGGAAGTGACTGGCTCAAGGTCACTTCCATGACTGAGGTTGTGCATCTGGGTCCCAATCCAACCCTTGAAGAACTGGCTCTCTTCTTGGCATATGAGTATGCAATTCCAGTTGCTTTATTCAATATGAGGCATTCTGCAGAATAGGAAGCATCTTTCTGGACTATACTATCTCAGACTGGCTCCCAGAAAAGTAAATTCCTAGCCTCTATCATTGTCCATTAATTTGGAGTTCAGTTCAGTTCAGTTCAGTTCTGTTCAGTGATTGCAAGCTGGCTGTTTTTCTTCATTGCTGTGTATTTTGTTTTGGACATGAAAATAACATCAAGCCCTATTTGGCAGTTCTCAGTCAAGGAAGTAAGATTCTTATAGAATCCAAGTATGCAGGCTTATTGCGAGGGGAAAGGGCCTGAGTTATGGAATCTTAGAAACAGGAGATGTAAGGCGGGTTACATCTTGCCTGTGATGCTGTTTCTTACAGAGTCTTGGTTTAATGTGGAGGATGCTAATTGACACCAAAAAAATATCCAAGTCACCACTCCACCCATCGGTCAGAAGAGTATAGGTGCACCCCTGGCATTTAGTGAGGAGCTTTGCTTATGAGGATATCAGAGATGGAACTGATGGAGAAACTGGGATGCATGAACATGAGCAGCTTCCCAGGACTGTTCTGTGCTGGAGTAGCCCTTCCAGAGAAACAGGTATTCTAATCTGCTCCTTCTGTGTTTGGAGTCTAAACTGTGTTCCACCTTAAATTCTCCCCTCACTCCAGTTGCAATTGGCAGGGTGGGGGACCTCTGGAGTGCTGAAGACATGGAGGGTGTTCAAAAATGAGCAGAGAGCAATGAAATACTGGGAGGAGCTTCACCAAGACGGGCAGTTGTGAATAAAGCTAGCTGGGCTAATCCAAACTAGAGCTTGGAAAGGTCAAATGAAGTTCAAGTTGGTTTCTTGGAGGGACATGAGGAGGATAAATACTTAGTAGAAAACCAGACATGAACCTCAAGAGCAGTAGGGGGTCCATCTTGCTGATGGTGATCTGCTGCATGTTTTTAAGCATTCCAACAAGATCTAGGTCTTTGAGGAAGAGGAGGAGGAATTTATTTATCTAACCAATTTATATAGTCACCTATCTACCAATGGAACTCTGGGTGACAAACAAAAAATAAAACTTAATATACAATCAAAGCAAATAAAAAAACAAAGTTGAAGCTACTATAAAAACACTTGCCACGTGCATACGCTGGGCTCCATTAATGTCCAGCACTTGGGGGAAAAGCCAGGTCTTCATGGCATTCTAGAAGGCCAACAAGGTTGGAGTCCCCCAAATCTCTGTTGGGAGGCTTTCCATAAGACTGGTGCCGTAACAAAACACCCTTTCTAGGACCGGCCAGGTGACACTGCTTCATTGAGGGACCCAGAGTATGCCCACTTTGCCAGGTCTGGTGGGTTGGGCAGAAACCATTGGTGACATGTGATTCAGTAAGTAACCTGATCCCAACAAATGCAGAGACCTTAGACATTGTGATGTTGATTACGGACAAAACTCTGAAAGAGATTATTAATTTTGAAATATTTCAGCACTCTAACCCAAAACCAGTGGTCTTCTCATATTATTTTTTAAAGTCTAAGAAATGTTTCAGTGTCATTTGCTGGTAACAGTGCATTAAGGGTTGGTGGAAAAACCCAAAGAAGTGACTTCCCTAAAATGGAGGAGGAATTAAGTAACTTGTCATGTTCATAATCTTCAAAAGGAAGCAAAGAAAAAAAAGTGCCATAGCACAGGATCTGTTATCCACTGCGGGCAAACAGAACTGGAAAACATCCAATGTTACGGCCTTCATCTCTCTCTCTCTCTCTCTCATCTATCAATAGAAGAGAATATATGTAGCTCAGGGTTGAACTGTGGAGTCCTTGT